ACGGGAATGCTGGCAGCTGTGGCCAATTGTGGGAGGAGTGGGAAATGGTGCGGCAGAGGAAGACTGGGATTTAAACCCAGGAGCAGCAGCTATGTGGGGTCTTTTGGGGGCCATGGGGCTTGGGCAGAGAAGAACCATGTACTTCTACTTCTTTTTCTGAGATATGGTACCCTGGACTGGGCAGAGGGGGAAGGAAGGACTGTGAGTTTGTGGGTATTCTAAAGGACTTTGGGACTGGATCTCAATGAAGACATTAAGTCATTACTCTTAAGTTTGTATAACTCTTTAAATAAATAATCTCTTTCCTTTTCACCAATCTCTGGCATTGAGAGACATCTTTCCCTGGCAGTGGCAAGGTGAACCTAGTACAGGGCGGGGGACTCTCAGAGCACAAGTGTGGGTCCATTTGGTAATAGTATATCATTCACACCTCCCCCTGGGGTCTGTTCTGTAACAGGGAGAGGATGAAAGGGGGAGCTGGCCTTGTGTGGGTAGCAGGTGGCCAGCCATGGGCAGCATCAAGGATTATTACACCAGCCATGGGCCCCCACTCAGAGAAAAGGCCCAAGAGAATGCTCTGAACCTGGTTGGGGATGCCCACAGCAGTGAAAGTGAGCCAGGCGTGTAGCCAGGCCATTTGGCTGTAGGGACCCAGGGGCTGTGGGTCCTCTGGGCAGTTGAGGAGGCTCGGCGCTCTTGGACGAATCAGACATGGCTGAGGCAATCCTGTGGGGGCCTGAAGAGCAGGGGCCTGAACCAGGGACACAGAGAGCTGGGCTACACCCTCTTCCCACTTTGAGCAGGGTCAAGTGCTTGGAGGGGGCAGAGGCCTCCTGGGTCCTGGCCTCCAGAGACAAACAGAATAGCAACCCGGCTCCAGCTTCTGCACAGACTGTCCCAGGGATGTGCCTCTGTTACAACAGTGTCACTGACACAAAGCTGAGGCCACGAACTCAGGTGTGCGAGCAGTGCCACTGTCCTTTGTCACAGCCAGTCAAGGTCAGCTCGTCCCCAGGCTCATGCTCACCTGTGGGAAGGTCTGGGAGGGGCTGCCAGCTGGGATGGCGTCTCCAGGGCCCCCTACCCCCTCTGGCCTCCCATTGGTGACTGGAAAGTGTTTCACATTCCCTGCGCCTGCTCATTCCCCTGTGACTCTGAGGACTCGAGGGGGTGACGCTCTGGATTAGTGTCACCTGCTGAGGACACCAGGACATGCCATTCAGACAGCACCTAGGGCACAGCAGGCCATGTGTTCTGGCCCTGGGACAGCAGAGGTGGCTGTGACAGGGCTCCGGGCTCATAGCCAGTGGAACCGTCAGCCGATGGGACGCGTCCACTGGGCCAGAGAGGAGTGACTCCCAGTGCCACAGAGTCATTCAGTCCATTGCCCCACAAACTCGCCAAACCATTTCGACTGCAGAGACATGTCCATTGCCATCTCTCCGATCAACAGCAAGGCTCTGTCCTCTGCCCGGAGTAATAGAGCTGGGGTCCCAGTCCAGGTGTGCCGGCTCCGGGGGCCGCACTCACCACTGTCTCGCCCGAGTGCTTCTTGGTGCAGAGGATAAACAACAGACAGCTCCCCTCCCCACCAAAACCAACCAACCAACCAACCGACCCACCCAGACTGACCTTGACCTCCCTTCCTACTCTCTGAGAGAACCAACCACACCGCCTCAATTGTGTACCGTAGATTTCGTGAAGACAGAAGTTATAAACGTTTATGGGTGCTCACAGGTTGTAGGGAAGAGGAGGGTTGCTAGGTTTTGTAGCAACTATGACGCGCACACACCGCCGCCATCCTGTGGTCTCCTAAACAGGTGTTCCCTGCTGTCTTATGAGCTTGACCAGCCTTCTGTCCAGCCCGCTCCATGGACTGCTCATCACAGGGCCAGGCCGAGGGCGCAGTGACCACGGGGGCATGCTTTCTTGTTGCAGATGGCAGCGCAAGGGCTTCTGGGTATGCTTGCTCCTTAGCGCCCCCACTGGGGGTTATTGGAAAAGTCACGTCTCCTCACCAGCCAACTGACTGTGTACTCATTCTAAGAACCCACACTTCGCTGCCATGATAACCTACATGCTATTACTAAGGAAAATAAACTTGATTTGGCGATTTTTAGTGTCACTTGTTAAGACACAGTTTGATCATATCTCTTTAATTACATGAATTGTTGGTTCCTGACTTCGGTGGATGTTCAGAGTGGTCCGCTGTCCCCTCCTTGAGCGGTGACAGCTCCCACACCCAGCCTTCGTCCGTTCACTCCCCCCTCATGCTGGTGGGGCTGCGGGAAGCTGCCGCCCTTCATGCCTTGGCTCAGCCCTTTGGCGACACTCGGATTACAGTAGAGTCACACTTTTCAGTGTCAAGGCCACATCAAGGACGTGTCTGGGCCCCATTGGTGGGAGAGGATCTGTCCCACACACAGTTCCCCACCCTGCTATGTGACATTACAATGCCACGGCATGTTCTGTGTCATGCCAAGGAGGACAGTCCTGGATGTGAACACTTGAACGCTTGGGCGTTCCTGCTCAATACGCCCCGCCCAGCATTGTGTGGGCCAAGACTGCAGTCTGGGGAAGTTGAAATGCAACCCAGGATGGGGGAGCTGTTCAAGTGATTGAAACATGGAAATGAATCTGAGCAGAAAGGCCTAAATCTTACCTGGGTTAGCATTATTGTTCTAATAAATAATCATAATAATCCCATACATTTTATAGCTTACAAAATCCTTCTTATACATTACTTCATTTGACTGGGTTGGGGGGAATAAATCTTCAGGCCTAATTTCTCTTGGAAATATCAATCTCTAGTCTGTACTTCACCTGGCTGCCTTTTTAATGGTCCCAAAGCACAGCTTCCCCATTTATTCCCCGACTCGAAAACTTTTTTAAAAACTGGCTGTGCCTAGAGAATAAACTCCTGCCCCCCTAGGCTGGTGTCCCAGGCCCTGCCGGACCCTGTCCAGACCTCGCTTTCCAGCCGTGTTCCTTCAGTCTCTTGATTGCACACCTGGCCTTCATACCTGAGCACAACACCCGCCGCCTCCTGGGGGCACAGCCCCGGTTCCTGAGCCGGCACCTTTGCCCAGGCAGGTCCCAGCCTGTGGCTGCCCTTCCCTGACCTTTTCATATGCCCATGGCCAAGGCCAATCCATCCTGCGAGGTCCAGCCTTCAGACCCCTTCCAGCGTCTCCTGTGGACTGGCAGCTCTTGTCTCTGGGCCTCCTCAGCACTTTCTTTCCTGCCTGCCCTGTAATAGAATCATAGTGTCCACAACTCGCTCCCTCCACTCAACTGTCAGCATCTTGGGCAGGGAATGCCCTCCCCACCCAGCGAAGAGTCTAGCCCAAGAGCTGGCAAAATTGTTTCTGGAAAGACCGGGGAGCCTGTATGGCCGTATTTGAGGCTTTATGGGGCGTATGATGAGCTCTGTCACAACGACCAACTCTGCCGTTGTGTCCTGGAGTGCAGCCGTGGCCAACACGTAAACAAGCGGGCACACGTGTGTTCCACCCAGTGAGGCCTCGTTTACCAAAACAGGCTTCAAGCTGGATGTGGCCCACGGCCATCATTTCCCGGCCCCCTGGCTCAGCCAAATGTCTAGCAAAGGTGTCGTATAAATGTCTGTTGACTGCCGGGCGGATGGCTGGTGGATGCACGAGAGCCAGGAACACGCGTGTGCGTTTGGGAATGGGGCCGGCCTGAGCACACAGAGCCTGGGCCGGAGCCCTGGTCTCCTGTGGCCACTAGCACCAGAGGGAAAAAAAGAGGTGCCTGTGCTGGGTGGTGGGTGCATTTTCAGGCTAGGGGGGCAGTAACGGGGCCCCCGGGCTGGGTGGCATGGGAGGAGGGTTGGGGGCACAGCAGGGCCAGCCTCGTGGCTTGGGGGTGTGGGCTGTAGCCAGCACAGAGCACTGGGTGTCTTGCACAGCCCCCGCCCAGGGCCCCACCCTGCACCCGTTTGAGTAAAGAGGCTGGTATCTCGGGCTGCTGCCCCCGCAGAGTTGACAGTGTGGGTACCAAGTGGTATTGGGCCCAGTTTGCTTCTTGTCTGTCTTCAGACAGCCCAGAGCTCAGACAGTGTCCTCAAAAAGGCCCGAGGACCCAGTGGGAGCCAAGTCTAAGCCCCTCCTCTGTGAAACCAGCATTGGCTTGTTTGAGGCAGGGGCATGGATCCTGCGGCCGGCCCCCCATGGGATGCGGCCTGACACCCGTGTAACCCTTTCCCGTGCACACAGGGCTCCCCTGCATCTCCCCTCACTCTGTCCTCTTGCCAACTCTCTAGGTAAGCAGCGGTTATAATTACGCTCCCCATTTCCCACCGGAAGAAGCAGGCTCAGAGGCTGGAGAGAGGGTTGCTTGGGGCCACAACAGGTGGAATTGTCTACTCTTCTTCGGGGGAGGCTGAGTGGAAGCAGGGCCCAGGCAGTTCGGCTCTGGCCTGGCGCCCCCGAGCCCCAGCATTGCTGGCCCACAGTGAGGCTGGCTACTTGAGTCCCTCCACTGTCCCCACGCAGCCTTGCTCACTGGCACACCTGCCTTTCCATGGCATGAGCAGAGCTCCAGCCCGCAGCACCCTCCCTGGGCGGGGTCAGCCCTCTTTCAAAGTGCTGTGACCTGTGACAGGGGCAGGTGAGGACTGAAAAGGGGACCCACATCGCAAAGGACAGTAAGCTGCTAGGGCAGGGGCAAGAGCAGGACGGGCGCAAAATGGAATTGACGACCCAGACAAGTAATCGTCAAGGTATTTCCAAGGTGAAAGCAGACTATTTCCATATCTTGCCCAGGCAACTAAGGACTTGGTGGTCACGGATTTTCTCCTCCTCCTTCCACATGAAGACACAGGTTGAAGAGAAATAAGACCCACGTTTCTTAAGAAGAAACAGCACCACAGCGGTGGAGTGATGGTGTAATCTCTCATCCTTGGATCTTTGGATAAAAATCTTTCTTGGGGCATAAACATAGTTCTAATAACACTTTGGTATCTGTTTCCCACACAGGTGAAGAGCTAGAGGACAACTGTAAGAAGTTGAGCGTGGAGCACAAAGTTTTGCTTTTATATTCTGTCAGAGGGGCAAGTTCAAGCCCAAACCATGGGAGAACATTGGGAGAATGGCTTGAAATGGGATGACCCACTCAAAACTTACACCAGACACACCACCGCCAGTGAAGGCCCCTTCTCGCCCCCCTCCTCCTCTTCTCCCCTTTTCCCTTTTAATGGATAAGGAATCAAATGATCAAATAAGGACATGAAATAAAGAGGAACCCAAGGTCAGTGGGGGCAAGGTGTCATTTTCTTCCATGATGCTGAGAGAGACAGTAAAACCACAAACATCCCCTCGATGTGAGAGGAGGCCCACTCCCCAGTTTTCTCTGTCTGTCTCTCTGTCTTTCTCTGTCTGTCTGTCTCTCTCGCCAAGACTTTTACTACTCCCTGGATTACTTCCTTCCTTCACTTCTCAAGCCTCACTTCTCTCTCTCCCTATCTCTCTCCCTGCAATGTTTAAAGGCCTGCCTCCCAACTCTGAACATTTTTAAAATTCTTAATGATGCAACCTGAAGTTGCCATGGCAACCGGCTTCCTTGCCGAGGCGGTGGTGGAGCCGGTGAGGGGCTGCCATTGAAATCGCAAATGATGCTCCTTTTCTCTCAGAATTAAGTAGGCTGTCTAAAGTGCTCTGCTGTGGCTTTCCCTGCCCCCAAAGAGCTCGAGTCCCATGCACTGAAGCAGCCAGTTACTGCATTTCCCTGGTATCTTTCGTAGCTTCCTCTCCACTGGCATATAGGCCGTCCCTCGGGAAAAATAACGAGAACACCCCCTTGCTACTTCCCTCTTGTCAGTGTGAGAAACGCTTCTCATGAAGTCTAAGGCGTTTGATGGGTTTTCCCTGCTCTCTTTTTTAATTGCATTTGGTTTTCCATTCTTGAAAACGACCAAGTTTTTTTTTCTCCTTGAACTGTGAGATCAGCTTTGTAAACAGCATTCGGAACACAGAGGAGCCTTCTGGGCCCGAAGGTGCACGCTGGTGCCACTCCGCGGGGCTTGGGTGGCAGCTGTCCCACCCCTGTCCGGCAGCTTCCCAGTGCAGGCCCGGCCGGGCGCCCTCTCCCAATGCTGCCTCTGCCTTTCTGACGCCTTGAAGGAGCCCAGCCTGCCACCGGCTCAGCACTGGGCCTGCGCCTTCTGAGGTCTGGGTGGTCTTTAATGTTATGCCAGTGTGACATTCTTCCTGCCTCCGGGGGCATGGGGTCAGTATGACACTTTGTCATCCAAGTGAGCGCGAAGCAGAAACCGGTCCTACAGTTCCGAGGCTCCGCAGGAAGGTCAAGACTCGAAACAAAGGATCCAGAATGTGGGGCTGGGGAGGATCTTGGCAGGGGCTCTGCCTCGGGACACTGGGCTGAGTGGAGCAGTGGGCAGGCAGGGGACAGAGGGGTCCCTGTGTCCTTCCCACTTCCGGGCACCAGCCTGGGCAGGCCCTGCTTGGGCAGGGAGACAGTCTCACCTTCAAACTGAGCACAGGGCTCGATCACTTATTCTGGACATTCTAAAAACTGAGACTGTCTCTGTGACTTTCCAGTGACCTTAGGACGGGATGTCACCTGGGAGCGAGCAGAAACACCTGGGAATCTGTCAGGGCTCCAGGTGAGAGTCCCTGTGCGTGGAGTTAACCGAGGCGTAGACACACACATGCTGTGCCGTGCTGGCCTGTGGAGACGCGTTCCCTGGTGTCGGCCCCGTGGCAGGTGAATCCTGCCGACCCCCACCCCGGGCACCGCTGGTCCTCCTCTCTTCCATTCTTTCCTTCCTTGGCTTTCATCTCAGGGACGGCAGTTCAATTCTGCGCCCCACCCCATGCCCCCACCTCTCTGGCTGTTCCTTCTCAGCGCCTTCCCCCTGGCTCTAGACCGCAGACTATGCCACCTCTCCTTCCCTGCCCCCACGCTCTCTGCGCCATCGCACCGTGTGCCACCGGCTCATCAACCACCCCAAACCTGTACTCCAGCTGTGGAGCCCTCTAAACAAACTTACAGCCACACGACTGTGTTCTGGGAGTCGCCCTGGGGACGTCCTGGAGATCCGCCAACCCAGCAGGCTCCAAACAGGACTCATCACTTTACCCTCCCACTCTTCCCTCGTCCTGTCAACAGGTGGGGTGTATTGTCACCTACACGGGGCACAGACCTGGCAGGCGGCATTGACTCTTGCGTCCTGCAGGCTCTGAGGTGACCAGGTAGCACGGCCACCGGGCTTCTACCTGAGGAAGCAGCAGGGCTTTGCCGCCTGCCCAGGGACCCCTGCCCTGGTGGGGCACCTCCCACTGCCCCTCCTGCTCCTCTTGGCCACCAAGGGGCTCTTTTCTCTGAGGCAGACGTCACTAAGGCCCCTGCACCAGGCCAACTGTCCTCGCCTTGAGGAGACACACATTTGGGAGTTTCTAGAATGTCTCTGTCCCATCACTGTGGAGACACAGTCACACGACCACATGGCACATGTCTCCTTTCTGGTCCTCCGACCTGTCATTTGGCCTCAGAATCACTGCTGTTGAGCACATGGAGCAGTAGTTCCCGACACATAGTAGGCACTCAATCAGTGTTTGGTGAACGAGGCTGTGGTTTCTCTGTGCAGCACTTTCCATTTTGTATTTGAAAGAGCAGAGAACTCCATTTGGGGAGCATTCCTGGGAGCAGCAGAAAGTGTCCTGGGGCCAGAGCCCCAGCTTGGCTGTGTGGGCACGAGCTGGGTACGCATTCACCTGTAAACCTTTTGGGCCTCAGTTTCCTTCTGTGCTCTGCTGCCCTCCTCCCTTGCACAGAGGTTAAGGACAGATGCTGCTTTGCCAGTGGTAGAGGACAAAAGACCTTTGTTTTGGTTGCTGGGTGGGAAGCTCAGCGCTGGGGCTGATGGGACAGAATTTGTGCCTGCAAGGCCACAGAGGCCACCAAGTGCAACCACCTTCCAGATCCAGAGGGCCCTTGCCTTCCATTTAGCCGAGACCAGGAGGTACTAGGTAGCTTCGTGAGACCTAAAACGCCATAGGGAGGAGAGAAAGTCCATTGCATCCCTGTGCCCTGCACACTCACCGTCCAATTTCCACAGCTCTGAGCCAACAGAGCCCGGCACCATCGCATGAGTGCCCGGCCCCAGCTCCCCGCTCTTTGTCTCTCCCCGACAATCCACCGAGATAAATGGAGGTCCCCGAGGAAAATCCTTGCTTTTCAGCCCTCTCAGCTCTGCTTGGCAGAGATGATTTATCCAGCCCCCCCAGAGGTGAAGGGAGGGCTCGGCGCCTCGAATGGAAACAGAAGTGTTTCCATTTACCTGGAGAGCCTCCTCTCCAAGCCCCTCACGCGAGGCGTCCGCAGCGCCGGGAAACAATGCCTCCACGCCGGGCGAGGTGCCCCCGAAGCAGAAGGCGGCGCCGTCCCGCGTCAAGGTCTTCCCGTGGTTGTGCGAGAAGACCGGTAATGACGGCAAAGCTCCCAGAAGGTAATGAGGCCCTTAAACGTACCCATGAAGCACTTGGAATTTTTTTTTTTGACAAAGAGAAAACTGAAGTGGGCAGCTTTAGTGAAATGTACCCCTCTGTCCCTCACGTGTGCTGAGAGCTTGACCCGGGAATGTGAGCCCCTCTGGCAGAGGCGGCACCGAACAAAAGACCCTTTCAGAGGCGGAGACGCGTGCAGACCTTGGCCTCTGCTGCTTTCTCCTGCCTGCGGGGGCGTTTCTGCTGGGCGCTGCTTGAGCGAAGAGATGCTCCACCACGTTTGCACGATGTGGGCTTGGGGAGCCAGACCTGTGGACTGGGGAGGTGGGGTAGGAGTGGGGGTGGGGGAAGCATGCTAGAATCCTTCTCCAGGGAGAAGGAGTCCAGTTCCGGTGTGTCGGTGAGCTGAGGGGACCCAGGGGGCCCCCACAGGATTGGACATGCATCAGTTAGCTATTGCTACGGAATGCCGTATAACAAAGCACCCCAAACTCAGTGGTTTTCTCCATCACTTGTTCTCGTAGAGTGCAGGGGGGCTGGGCTCATCTGGGCAGCTCTTGTCCTGTGGGTCTGGCAGGGAGTGCCCAGTGGGTGAGTCTGCTCCGCATGTGTTCATTCTGGGGCCCCAGGGAGCAGCTCCCCAGGGAAGAGCTTCTTAGGGCCCCGGCCAATGTGCAAGAAAGTCTCTTAATGCTTATTAAGCAGCTGGCCAGCTCATTGCTGGCCACATGCCATTGGCCAAGAAAGTCACATGGCCCAGGTGGGTCCACTGGTGGGGAGAACGCCCGGTCCATCACAAGGCCATGGTAGGGGTGTGACTTGGGGGGGGTGAGAAACCAGGGCTGGCCACCCCTCCCCCACGTGAGAGCACATCTGTGCAGCATCCCCCATGGCCCGCCCACTTATGCTGGTTCATTACATGCACAGTGTCATTTTTTTCTTCTCAGAGGTAGGGTGACCTGAAGAAGCTTACGCAGCAGAGCTGGGGTCGGAGCCTGGGTCAGCCTGACTCTGGCGCCTGGATGCTTTCTTCCAGCCTCGCCAGCACCAGTCCTCATCCGAAAAATGAGGGTAACATCCTGTTTCCTGCCTCCCTTCCCAGGCTTGCGTGAGGCTCCAAAAAGACAATAGAATGCAAATTGCTTTTGAACCTCACAGCACCTTGTAAACACAAGCCCCACCCTACCACCTAGTATAGCAAGCCATCCCCGTTATTAATACTGGACTTGAGCGTGGACTTCTCAGCCCGGCCCCGGGTAGCATGGCCAGCTCCCCTTTCTTCGCCGACCCTATTCTCACTTTGAAGAGGAGATATAGATTCTTTTATTTATTAAATGGTGGGGTTTGGGGTGACCATGGGCACTGCGGATGGAAAGATTGGTGTGTCACAGGTCCAGGGCATAGATGTGGGACAGGGGATGGGGACATAGGGGAGCCAGAGAGTGAGCGGGGCCCGGGAAGTCACCCAAGGCAGCCCGTCAAGGCGAAATAAGGGAATGGTGATGTTCATCAGTTCAGAGAAGGCTGCACTCTGGTCCCGGAGGTGAGGGCAAGGCAGGAAGTCAAGCTGAGGCCCAGGGGCAGAAGGACACTGGTTCCAAGCAGAATGGCAGAGCATGGAACCAAAGACCAGA